GAAAATTTAGGTTGCAGTACATATTTTATTCTTGGATTATGATGGGAGCCTTTTGATAAGAATTTCTAAACCATGATCAAAGTTGGCTGTTTACTCGGAACGGCCTTTCACGCATTTCAACTTTCATTACTTTGTATAAAATCTACATCTTTTGGGATGAATTGTTTGTGCAGATATATGACGAATTGGCAAACCTAGACCCAGAAATACAATAAAATATATTCCCAATTAGCCAATAAAAGTATACTCATGAAACCAGCTACTTAATTTTTGTAATATTGTCGGTAGCATTTTGAAGACCATTGAAAGTAATCACAATTCCTTAGGGAGAGAAAAATATTTTATGTCAATTGCCAATATAAATGCATCCACAAAATAATCATTTAATCAATGATAAATTAAAAAAAATGAAAATTGTATATTGTACTATAAAGTACACGATATACACATTTGTGTATTTTTTCTTCATTGAAATTGCCACTTTTTACAGCTTCTTCAGGATAGCTTACGAAGATGTATAAAGACCTTTTTCTGTTTATCTCCATTATGATTATGCTGTTCACGTCGGAAAAAAAGCACTGTTAAATGCAAATTAGAACACTAATCCTCAAATCTAAATATTAAACCTTTCGATGAAACGGAAATAGACATGATATTGACTGGCATGTCAGAGAACTTGTATGGGGAGGAAAATACTCTTGCCTTTATATTTTATGAAATATATAAAATATATTCGATTTAACTCTGAAAATCAAATTTTACTTACCCTGATAAAAAAAAGTGTCTTATAATTGCCAAATATTTATGCCAAATGCTTTAAGTACAATGTTGAGCGATTTCATTGTTATAAAAGTACATGTGATGAATTGGTCATTTCCCAAAAAAGTGATTTTGTCTTATTCTAGTGAGAAGTATTTGTCCTGGCAGAAGTGTGAAATATGCAGTATTATTTAACTGAATTTTAACATAATAAATTCAAAACGAAAGACAAAAGGCGTGCAAAAGTTTAGGATGCTTTCAATCAGTGTTAAGTAACCATGTAGTTTAACATTTCCTCCTAACAGTACATCAGAGAAAAAATTCTAGACAAATGTTTGCACTTTATATATATTGTGAAAATTTTCATGAATGTTTGAGTTTCGTTGTTTTTGTGTTATAGAGACCCATGAATCTATGTCCTCCACGAAATGTAAAAATTTTCAATAGCAGTATCATGCTTGTCCACAACCCACGAAATCAAATCACCACGAACTAACTTTTTTTCCTCAAACCACGAAAATTTGACCAATCGAAGGTATGAGATTTTATAATAGAATATAGAGTTCTAACATTCAGAGGTTTTTTATGTATTCATTTGGTGGTTTCTAAACATTTTCAGCATTAATTCTCCTGGTTGTTTTATATCTTTTTGGATATCTTCATCTTCCTCAGGTTCTCTAGGTACACTTCTGACATACACGTCTTCTATTTTCTACAACAAGATTGTTTTGGTGTTGTGAGATATAGGACATATTTGTAGTATGTTTGATTTGCTTACAAAAATAATCTACCCTGTTGGAAATATCAAGCTTGTTCACGATATGAATGTATGCATAGATAATTCAAATTTATACTCATGAGCAAAGCTTTGGTGGTCGCTTGAAAGTATGTGGATAAATGAAAGTTTTTATTAAATTGTCAAAAATACTACTCAATATTCAATATTTACCCTTTTCACAACATTGACGTCTCAACCTAAAAGATTTAAACAATGACGTCTTAAGCTGCAAAGAATTCTATCTTTCCTTTGGCCTTTCCCATGACATTGACCTCACTTTCATTAAATAAGTGATTTATGTCCTGTTTACAGGTTTGTAATATTAATTGAATTTTTTAGACCGATCGCTACCTGTTAGCTTCATCGCTTCGATTAGAAACCCTTCTCAGTCACCTTGAATCGGTAAATTTGCATTTAAGCAAAAGGTGTTAAAGCATATAACATAATTGTTTGTTTGTATGTTGTTTAACGTCCCTCTCGAGAATTTTTCACTCATATGGAGACGCCACCACTTGCTGGTGAGAGCTCCAAATTTTGTCCTATGCTCGGCACTTACTGCCATTGAGCAGTGAGGGATCTTTTTCGTGCCAGCACCTACTGGGAGGACACGGGACCTCGGTTTATACGGTCTCATCCGAAGACCGGTCTCCACGTCCCACAGTGGGATTGGAACCCGCGACGGAAGGATCAACTCCCTACACCGCGACTCTAGAGCAGACGCTCTAACCACTGCGCCACGCGGGCGACTATAACATAATTGTAGCGTTAGAGCTGTATCTCTTTTGTTAAGACAATTAGGACAAACAAAACCAGAGAGCTACAGATCCAAACATTGTAGAAATCGACGATTTCCGGCGACACTTTTTTTAAAGGGTATTATTTCTTGTATGACTAGGTGAAATCCCGCGCAAGTGCGGGGAACTGAATTTGTACCTCTACCAATAGAAAATATATTGTAGTTTCCACTGATAGACAACAGGCTTATACAGGAAAAAATACGTATGAAGTAAATGTACGTCTCCACCCCCAGCCCCCCTCCCCCTTTTGTAAAAACTTGAAAAATAACAATTTCATTAATTGCTGTTTATTGTGAAACCTGTTACACTATGTTATGGATATTGTACTTCAGTTGCCATTTTTTTTCATTTCCGTCAAGGATAAAAGCAGCAAATATGCACATTTTACTGATAAATTGATTTGGGGAGGATTCACAGGTACTTGGGTCTTGGTTTATCAGACCCGTAGAACGCAAGGGGGGGGGGGGGGGCAGTGCCTCCCCCCTTTTCTGAGTATAGTACTTTGCTTTAGTAAAATTTCAATTAGATGCTTGTTCCCCCCCCCCCTTTTGATGTTGTAAGGTCGAGCACTGGCAAACTCCAGTTACTTTTTTTTAACATAAGGTACATACATACTTATAAACCAAGACCCAAGTACCTGTGTAAAAATTAGCTTTTAACGCTCTATGAATAGGATGACTGTTTGATACGAAAGACAGAGTGTATTCAGAAAAAGATACTGAAATGTATTGATTAAAGCACACAATTTTACAATTTTATAGAAAATGAAAGTAGACTTTTAATTTAATGTACGATACTTACTACGCGAGTGAAATCTAAATATAGTTTATGGACATCATCTTGTATCTAGTGTATACTTAGAGGAGTAAGGAAGAACTCTGGTGCACCCGTTTCGGTGTTTATTTGCAAAATATATTAATTTATAAGTATAGATATGCGTTCCCACAAAAAAGCATGGAATCTTTCAGTTAACCATATATTTTTACTCATAATCTTGATACTTTATTTACCCTTCAACGGCTGTTTGCGGTCGTTGAAAGGTTGTTTAACGTCCCTCTCGAGAATTTTTCACTCAAAAATTTCCATATGACTGAAAAATGCTCCAAAGGGATGTTATATAATCTTTCAACAGCCGCAAACAGCGTGACCCCAAAATGAATCTCGAATGAAAGTTCTTCAAAGGGCTGTTAAGATCGTTGAACGGTAAATAAAGTTACAAGAATGGGAATAGAATAAATGTATAATAAACAGATGCCATGATTTTATAGCATAGAACGCATAAAACACCAAAAATAATACCTTAAATATTACCTTAGTGTGCGACAAAAAAGATTTGCCGTAAGTCGAAGGGTTTTACAATGTTTGGATCTGTAGCTCTCTGGTTTGACTATCCAAATGTTCTTAACTGGACAGCTACAGTTCTGCAGCTAACATAATTGATGATATTGTAAATTGATAGTTTTGTTTTAATTCTTCTAACATGATGAATTGTTAGTTTGTAAACACATGGAGTAAATTCCCTAAATGTTTATATATATATATATATATAGAGAGAGAGAGAGAGAGAGAGAGAGAGAGAGAGATTAGTGGACCGGGAGATATAAACTTTCCGGGGAGAAGGTTTATTTGTAGGCAGAAAGTTTAATTCGTGATAGTAAATATTCCAGAATATGCAAAAGGTTTAAGGATATAATCATAGGTGACAAGCTTTTTTCATTATAAAGAAAAAAATGAAAACGTTGTATACACATTTATGATGGTATGGACTCTAAACAAAATGCATAACACATAAGTAAATTACACAGACAATTTTATCTTTAGAAATTGGCAATTTATCTAATGAATTTAGGTTCACATTTGGTAACCTGTAAATGTTTGCCATAGAGAGTACGTACATCTTGTTTTTGTAATAATGTCTTAAATATTTGAAATATTATTATTTCGTATGGGTTTACGTAGAAAATGGCTCAAATTTGCATATATCAGCACGAAAGCTTCAGAAAAATTGAGAGATTTATTGGAATCAAAATCAATCAAAAACTGTACATCAATCCATGCTTTATTTTTTGTTTGTGTTCCTATTATCCTTCAACTGTCAACACAAAATTTTTAGACCACTAGAAACTTTATGTACTTAAGTAAAATAATACATTAAATAGAGAAATAATAGAGAAATTAATTTTGAACATGCTAGAGGTAATGATGGGACAAGAAAGTTTTGGTACTAAAATTATCACTTAATGACTACAAAATAAAATACAGTAACAATCATACTTTGCCACCTGGCATCGTTCTTCACAAATTTGAAAAAATATCATGCATAAGTAGATTTATATTTTTACCGAGTCTCAATGAATAAAGACTAATGCAATGTTTGGAAAATTCGTGACAGTGATCACTTCAAAAATCTGTATGAAAATAAATATAGTTAAAAGACTTCAAGAAATTTTTTTTCTACGAATGTTACAAGATTGCTTTAAGCGTCACTACGAATCAGTTGATCAGTTATTTGATAAAAGGAAAATGGTGCATTAAGCGCTGGCATATGTTGCAGATGCACATTGATCGTTCAAATTCGCAATAAAGCAACTAATTATTTATCAGACATTTAATTAAGCCGTTAAAAATGTCATTTGGGGGGAACTTTTCCTCTGCAAGAAATGTTTTATTCTAATGAGAGTTATCGGTGGTGTTACTTTGGTGGATTTTCAGCATTTTAACCACTAATTCCTCCAGTTGTTTGAAGTCGTTCGGAATATCCTCGTCTTCTAGAGCTTCACGTGGTTCAATTTTCACAAATAGATCTTTTATTTTCTGTTAAACGAAAGACACGAAAAGTTAAATTATGACGTCTATACGTATTATCGTATATAAGTTATTTATTTATGACATATCTGTAAACATTAATAAAATATTGCATTCATAGTAATAGTAATTATTTATTTTAATCAATAGTTATTCTTTAAAAATGATGCCCTCAATATTAATGTAACAAAATTAATATTTACATATGTCTCAATGATTAACGATCAACAACGCCCTTATTAATTTGATTAAAAACAAAAGTATGTACCCCATCCTTAAGACTGAGTGAAACAAGATTTGTATCAAAACACCCATGAACTAGACCACGCTCATGCAAGAACTTCATGGCTTCGGTCAATCGGAGGACGATAAATTTCATTTCCGGTACAGTAAGTTTGTGATTCTGCATGTAGTCCGAGAGCGAGAGGTTGGTCAGAGTTTCTGTGGAAGCTGTCATTGAAAGAGTTTTTCATTTACAGGATAATAATAAAAGAAAAACAGATGCGAAATATTAAGGATTACGTAATAATATACTTTTACTTTGCTACTATCAAGAATAATTTACATAATGATACATTTATTTTTAAAAGAAATGTTGGCCATCACTACAAAAATTCAATTTCAAAACTCCTACGTATTTTATGTACGTGATGAAATACGACCTCTTTAAGGCAATCTTTAAAAAGAATTGTTTGTTTGCCCTCTCCCGAACGACTGGCTAAAAATGGCCCAACTCAGAACTTTTTTTAATCTCCTGAAGACGATATATTTTTTTCCTTTTTATTCCTTATTTTTTTCATCCTGTCAACATGTATTTTGAAATTTTCAAAGAAAAAAAAATTCCAACCTACCTACCGACCCATTATTTTTACCCTGAGTCGGGAGAGGGCAAACAACCATTATCTTAAAGATGGCCCTATACATTTAATTTTTACATTTTTTCGTTATTGTGCTGCTGATCATCACTTACGCAGACAACGAGATATTGTTCTCTTTTTGGATGACAGTCTTGTCTCAACCTAGGTAAAACAATATCAATGCTTTATATATTATAACTGTGTATCTCAGGTATCGTCAATTTAACACGTATTTAATAAAAGTAGTTGAAATTTTTTAATATTTAACAATTATCTCACGTACATGTATCGTCAATTTAACACGTATTTAATAAAAGTAGTTGAAATTTTTTAATATTTAACAATTATCTCACGTATCGTCAATTTAACACGTATTTATTTAAAGTAGATGATTTTTTTCAATATTTAAAAGGATGAACATGATGAAGTAACAACTTTACTACATAAAGTAAAGACTTTCAATGAATTAGATAATTATGAAGTTAAACAAGAGGCACAAAGGCCTTAACTGTCACCTGAGTATAATACAACAATTTAGAGAATCCATAGAGTATAAATTGAACTGAACCTTTGTTGCCCAAAAGCAAGAAAAATAGGGTGATCAGGATCAACAAAATAATTAGTCTAGTATTCATTAACAGTTCATACTCTTCCCCATTTATCACTCTCACCATACAGTATATAAACAAACTATCAGTGCTTCTGTACTATTTTAATTCCTTGTTGAAATCTCTTACATTGGCCTCTTTTGGTCTTGGATAAACATTTAATAAGACAAGTTATTTTTGTCTCATTTTTATTTATCTATTACTTACAAGTCTACCTGATCATTAAAACTATGAAAGTACTTTTTGTATTATCAAAATTTCTTGCATAATTCTCCTATTCTATTAACCTTTCAAGTACATTGTTTTTAGTGATTAATTATCAAAAGTAAATGGCAAAGGGGAATAACTCCTCTCAGTAGAATACAAATTAATAGAGCCCTGGCCAGGACGAGAACACTTGACCAAATGGTCCAGATGTTCAAAAGTCTAGTAAAAATACCGTTCCTTATAAAATACTTTTACTCTTTTTGCCTCTGTTATGCCCAGATTTTTAAAGAAATAATGCATTTTTCCTACAGATTGACTATATTCACTATATTATCAACAGAGCCCCCCCCCCCTCCCCACCGAGAAACACCAGAGCCTCTCACCCTGGGACCAGAAGTTTGCTCATCATAAGTAATCACTTTGTTTATCTGCTTAACACTAAGGAGCAGACAGGATTATTTAATAGAATTAATGCATTTTTACTATATTATCAAGAGCCCCACCCTTACACCAGCACATCTTACCCAGGGGTCATGAAATACACTACTCTGGAAGAAGCACTCTTGCTCATCATAACTATACACTTAGCTTCTTTGCTTTTTAACCAGAATATTTTCAAAGAAATTTTGCTTTTTCACTATATAATCAATAGAGACCCCCTACCTTAAATTTTCACCAGAATCCTTGACACTGGGGTCATGAAATTCACAATTTTGGACGAGGAATCCTTGCATTTCATAACAATATACTTAGTTTGTTTAAATAATAGCCAGGGCAGAGAAGAAGATTTTCAAAGAAATAATTCACCTTCACTATAGGATCTATATAGCCCCACCATAGCACCAGAACCCCTGACCCTGGGGCCATGAATTTCACAATTTTGGAAGAGGCATCTTGCTTATCATAACACTGTACTTAGTTTGTTTAAATAATACCCAAGAGCAGAGAAGAAGATTTTTAAAGCATTAATGCATTTTCAATATATAATAAATAGAGCCCGGCCCTTATATCAGAACCCCTGATCAAGGGGCCATGAAATTCACAATTTTGGAAGAGGCATCCTTGCTTATCATAATATGTATTTGTTTCAATAATACCCAGGAGTAGAGAAGAAGATTTTCAAAGAAATAATGCACTTTCACTATATGATCTATAATTCTATATAGCCCCACACTAGCACCAGAACCCCTGACCCTGGGGCCATGAATTTCACAATTTTGGCAGAGTCACCCTTGCTCATCATAACTATGTATTCAATTTGTTTCAATAATACCCAGGAGTAGAGAAGAAGATTTTCAAAGAAATAATGCACTTTCACTATATGATCTATATAGCCCCACCCTAGCACCAGAACCCCTGACCCTGGGGCCATGAATTTCACAATTTTGGTAGAGGGCTCAATGCTTATTACAATCATGCCAACAGTTTGACTGCTTGATGTCCAGGAGTAAAGAAGAAGACTTTTAAAGATTGCATTAATTTTGGTGGTTTTAGCCCCACCCCTCAGGCCCAAGGGGGACGGGGACCATGAAATTTACAAATTTTGTTCCCCTTCACACATAGATGCTATATGCTAAAATTAGTTTAGCGGTTTCAGAGAAGAAGCTGAAAATGTTCAAATGTTAACACACGACGGACGACGCACGACGACGGACGAAAAGAGATAGCAATAGGTCACCTGAGTGACTCAGGTGACCTAAAAAAGAAATTGTTATGTTAATGTAAAAACCTTTAATCAACAAAATGAAGACTTTCTACAGTTACATACACGTTTTTATCTTATCACTAACCCTTCTCCTTAAATTTACAAAGGAATAGAGGAATGGATTTAAGGCTGAGTTGACCGTGGGGATAAAAACGGCGACCCAGGCATACACCTCTCCAGATATCACATGCCCATTTAAGGCAAATATCCCTGAAGTACATAGAAAACAATAATATTTCTTTTTACGTTGTACAATGACATCAGTTTCAATTAAAATCATACTGTTTTTCGTGTTCTACAAATATTTCGAGATATTACGTGACATATTACCTATAAATCCAATTGGAATTTTGGCGGTTGTTTGTGAGATTTCTGTGTATATCCAACATTGTCCTAATGCAATAATCACAAAGAAAAGGAAATTGAGTATGACGAGGATTCCTGTTAAGTAGTCCCATCCAGCAGGTAGAGGAAATGCAAGGCAGACGACAGATCTAGAGTATAACTCTCCTTGGAAATATCCTCCTGGAATCAGAGGAATCGCTGCTAGCGGAACTATAATGCTCCACAAGACGCCAATACTAAATAAAGCTCTCCTTCTGGTAAATCTAAACTGTCCAAATGGAAATTTGACAGCGATGAGACGATCAACGGTAATCAAACATAGCAAACATACCGAAGTCCCGCTCCAAATAGCAGCAAGCATACCGGCTATTTTACAAGTTATACTATATCTCCAGAGTAAATCATTCCAGATATATCTCCCACGATAATGTTCATCAGCAGAGGCTATGATTATCAAGTAAACACCCATTAGAAAATCCGAAATGCACAAATTCGTGATGAAAATTCCATGGCCTTTCTTCAGAGTTTCTGAGTCGAAAAACACTTTGAATATGAAGACGCCCAGATTTCCCAACAGGGAACTAAATCCCATGATCCACAAGAACGTAGATAGGACATTATTTTTCATTAGGTTATCACAGGAAGAGAATTCATCCACTTTTGGTAAGCAATCCTTGACTGACTGAGGTTTCAGACAACAGAATGCATAGGAATCTGTGTACAATTTCTCGAGATTCGAAAGCCCATAAAAGATTTCAGATGAAAACTCATAAATATTATTGTTTCGTAGATCCAACACTGATAATTCAGACAAGTTTTGAAAAGCATAATTTGAAACATAATGAATATTATTTGATGACAAATTCAGTAGACGTACGTTTTGTAAGCCCACTAAAGTATCCCGTTCAATGGACCACAAATTGGTATTTGTTAAAACTATTTTAGGTAACGTTTTCAATCCAAGAAAAGCCGAATCTGCTATTTTTTTAGAAGATCATTCTCCTCTAAGTTCAGCACTTTCAAAGACACTAGTCCAGTGAAGGCATTGGAATAAATATGGGTTATTTTATTATTTCTGAGATCAAGTATTAAAAGATTTTGCTGGTTGATAAAGGAATAGGGTCTTATTGATGTCAAATGACAGTCCGTAACAAACAATCTAACTAGATGAATCAAATGCTGAAGAGATGGCAATCCATTACTAAAATCATTTCCACTAATGTTTAGAAACCTCAGCTCTTTTGGAAGCCGTTCCGTACTAATATTTTGAAAACCCCCACACAGGCCAGAAAGGCCATCACAGACACACTCTTCCGGACAGGTGATGTTACAAAGTAGTTCGTCGTCCCTAAGTGGGCAGTGGGGGATATTATCACATAGCTTTTGCGGATCCAAGCAGACTTTGCTCTTTTGACATCTGTATAAACCTTGGCAAGATCCTACAACCAAACAGATAAAATTAGTATACGTAGTTCAGGACTGAAATAATTAGAAAGCTATATGCAACACAGCTTACCGCACTGCATTTCGTCGACTCCGTCTTCACAGTGCTTCTCGCCATCACAGATAAATCGCGGAGGAATACAAAAACTTCCGGGACATTTCATATAACCTACAGGACACGATGTGGAATCTGAAAGATAACCATGTTTTATACAATAGGCTTTTACCTAAACATATATTCCTGTTTATCTTCAAATGTAAAAATGTGCCTGAAACATACCACAATCGTCTAAATGAGATAAATCTCGACAGCCAACGATATCCCCGTTTTCACTATAGTCAAGAATACATCGTGTTGACATTGCCACGATCTTGCCTGTCCGACAAACAAAATCTTTGTTCACATCTTCTGTCTCTGCAATAAAATAAAAAATAATAAATTAACTACTATTCTTAACATAAATAAATCACGTTTATTTTGTGAATATTACTTAAGTTAAGCTTTAAAATATGATCAATAAAATTATATGACCATTAAGATCAGACTCATCTTCCTTCATTAACGCGACTTAATAATGTCACTTATACCTTTCAAGGTGGATTGAAAATGGCTCCACAATCATGTAATGCAGGACAAGTCATTTTTAAGAGAGAAAATTCCACTAACACAATGGAAGTAATGCTGATGTCTCTCTCTGCTGTTTTCGTCCTTTTTTTTACATTGCATGAGCTTCACTAGACGTACTTAATTACCAGGGTACTTAGATAAATGTTTATATATAAGTTCAAGCATGAGAATTAAAAAATACCTTCAGTGCAAACAAGTGGTCCGATGTCAACCTTAACGAATTTGTTCTCCCCCGCACGAATGATGAACAGTTTTTGGATGGGCAGGAGTGAGTGGTTAGTGATAACACCTGAATCCTCTCTAACCTCTGTGGCTTCAGCACGATACCATTCACCCATTGTGGAATTACAATTGCACCTGAATGATTTAAAGAGATAAAATATGAAATCGTTATTTTTTATGCCAAGAAAAATTTTTATTTAAAAAAAATAATTTTTAATTTAAAATCAAGTGATGGCTTTATTGTCTTTAGACTCATTACGAAGCACTCGAAGATAGGGAAGATTAAAGAATTCTTATCACTATGTTATAAGGGTTTAGTTGCCCTAGACATGAAATTGAATACGATTTATATGTAATCAAATCTTTACAACTTCTCACTTTACTTTTTCCTCTTCACATTTATTCACAAATGGACAAGAACAGTTTTCGTCACTATCCCCAAAGTTTATGTGAATACGAGCTCCGTTTTCTCCTTCCCAAAACACGTTAGATGTATGGTCGATGTAATGACAGCGTATTCTTATAGCCTGACTGCATTTATTTGTATTCTTTAGCACCGATATTTGTCTTTCATTTGCAGAGTACCTTAATTTTGCATCAACTTCAAAAAGACTTGAGTACAGTGTTTCTTCCTCAGAATGGTGAATTATCGTCTGCACTCTGACACGATTATCAGATTTTTGAAATCGACACTCTGCTCTTGTAGGTCTCAGACCTAAAACAAAAATTATGACAACCACTTGATTTCATTCCTATGGACTATGTAATTTTTCTTTTTTCTTTTTTTTTTTATTGCCTTTTTTCGAATGTGAACTTTTGCATTAAATTTAGATTTGCATAAATCAAATATTTAGTTCGATGAAAGACAAAGTTTAAAGAAGGGGAAAAGAAAAACAATTTAACATAGAATATTTATTATAAAACACGACCATATTTCCAATGTTTTCAACATGCTTAAAGCAAATTAATCTCTCCTATTAATCATCCAAATAAAATGAATTGAATAGTAAGTTTATAAGGATTTAACCACCTTCCAAGCCAAGATTAACAAGATATTCCCCATTCTCCCTCCGTCCCAATCCCCACCATTCTTTACACGTCTCCTGGACATTGTCTTCACAGTCCCGAGACTCGTCCTCAGCAAAGAATCCACTACAGTCGATAAAGCCATCACACACCTTAGAAGGATGTAGGCAGGTCTGATCGTAACATTCAAATCCATGATTACAACCTTCTGAAAGTTTATATAGTCATAATCTATATTTGTTAACAGTGAGAAGGCATAAGAAATTCCATATGGATGTTAGTAGGATCAACAGAATAACCTACCACAATATTTTTCATCGCTTTCATCGACGCAGTCTGGTTTCATATCACAGCGGTTATTGGCAGGAATACACTGACCGGTGGAACATTCCCATTCATTTTCTATACATGGTCTTCGAACTGTGTGAACAATATTTTAAAAGCAATTTTTAGCAAATAAAAGCAATATTTATAAGTAGGCTTCAACTGTAAAAGTAAACACATTGAATTTTACATCACATTTGTACTCATGAAAGATTTAATAGAGAATCCCACATCTCTCAAGGAGGAAATCAAATTCTGTGGTATAATAATGCACTGTTTCTTTTCAGATATTGAAGTTAACATTTATGTTAAAAAAAGCACTACCAATACTTACAACTACATGTATTTCAATTTGCGATGTTTTTTATACACAATTTTTATACTTAATAAAGCATCGGTTCAATTTTCTATAGGATTTGTCAAAACGATGACTTTCAAAACATAAAATTCACAAACTGATATTTGTAATATTTCCATTGATATGCATTACATGACGATTATGTGAACATAAACTCACTACAATCGGTTTCATCGGTGTTATCTGGACAATGGCTGACAAAGTCACAATACAGACTGATAGAGATACAGGCACCATTGCTGCATTGGAACTGAGTTTCTGTACACGAGGAAGCTATCAAAAAAGGTAGTCATAGTTTGTCACAATAGGATTTTAAAGGTATTTTACTTACATGTACATACATAACTATCTATAAACTTCATATAAGACAATTTTCTCTCAGCTCCATGAAGCGATTTTCATATACAACAAAGCGCTAAGTAACAAAACACCAGGAGGTCTTAACATAAATGGTACTTAAGTCTAAGACTATACTTAAGAAGGACTTAAGTAGAGTCTTAAACTTAAGACCGTACCTAGAAGCGTGCTAAGATTTGACGATCTTAACAAAACCTAGTCGGTCGGTAGAGGTGACTTCAATATGTCTTAACTTTTTTATACATATATTTGAAACTATTAAATGTTGAATTTCGACGTAAAATAATTCCTCTATTCATATTATGCTTGAAATAAAATAAATGTCTCTATTTAATACTGGTATGATAATTTAAGTTTTTCGTCGGGGGGGGGGGGGGGGGGGTTGATCACTGATTCCAATATCACTCTCAACATGGCATACATGTAAACGCAAAATTTAATTTTTGGAATACTTTTGAATACTAGTGGGACCTAGATTATATACGCTAGTTATTATAAGTAAAATGTACATAATAATCATGGATTTGTACGTTCACTGTGAAAATATAAGTTAAAATAGATTTTGAACAATTATCGGTAAATAAGAGGATGATGACTAGAAAGGTAAAAATAGAGTGTCTGAAAATAAGATTGAATGTAGAACGTAACAAGCGCGGATTCGGACAGCGGTTCACTACCGTCCGCGAGAGAGAGAGAGAGAGAGAGAGAGAGAGAGTGAGAGAGAGAGAGAGAGAGAGAGAGGAATTGTTGATAATTTGGAGACATACGAAAAACTATTTTTCTCGATCCTTGTTTATTATTTTAATAAGTATATCATAAAACGTGTACATTGTTTGGTTGCCGACATTCGCTGGTACATGTACATGGGGTGGGGGAGAATTCAAAATGTCCCTATTGTGGTGTATTTTTGTTTATTAGAGTTTCAATTTCAAGTACATATAGATAGGCGTTCAGTTATCGTGCCATGTCTTTGAGAATGACAAAGCGAGTGAACATTTTTCAAAACAAAAGAATAACAACAAAAGGTAACTGAAAACATTGCAGTGTTCATGATTTACACTGAACACTTGCCACATTGTGAACGTGCATTATTTAAATATTAAGAAAATTTTTTAACAGAATTATAATTTTATTTCGAAATATAATATAACCTAACTAAAATTTAAGAAAGGACGTCGATTTTATAAATAATAAAAAGCTGAACTTAATATTTGTTATCAATAAATTGATAAAGTAAATAAATTAAAAAAAAAAAAGCATAATTTTTAAGAAATATTGTGAACATAATTTTGACTTTTAAACTAAGTCGCTTAGGTCGTTTTATACTACGGTTTAAGACATACTTAAGTAGTACTTAGACTGGTCCTAAGATTGTGTCTAAAACATACTTATGACCCTACTTCAGTCAAAAATTTTGTGCAAGCTTTTTTTACCATCCCCGGACCACAAATTGTAGCATAAAGACATTCAAAACATTTATTTCCGTGTATTATAAAAGTAGAAAATTAAAAAAATATAAATAAAGTACAGTGTATCAGCATTACTTACAGCAGTTTACTTCATCAGATCCGTCACTGCAGTCCTCTATTCCGTCACATACAAACAGTCTGCTGATCAATTCTGTGTTCTCACACTGGAACAAAATATTACCAAGCTCTGCTGACCTTGAGACAAGAGTTCCATTTCCCCACCAGTTCCTTCGACTTATAGTTTCTTCGATAGATAAAGAGATCTTTATAAAGATAATCTTGATTAAGAAAAAAATTGAAAGATATTGAAAAACAAGTTATACCAATTAGAATTTTTTTATAAAAAAAATCAGCACCTTAATTTTCAAAGTTTAAATCCTTGTCATTACTATGTGCCTTTGAACTTTGTGATTTGAACTTTATGATCTACTTTGTGTCAAAAGTAACATAAAACTCAAGTTTGAATCTTTACAATAAATGGTTCCAAAGCTATGGTGCAAAAACGATTTAAATATCTCATTGCCCTTGGCCTTTGACCTGTACGATATGACCTTATTTTAAAAGACTAATTTAAATTTAGGTCATTGGCAATATTATACAAAAGTCTGAATTTATTACAAACAACTTATGTAGATTTAATTGTAAGGCATCTCTTTTTCCTCATTGTCAATTATTTTGAAATATTTGACTTTTATTAAAGATTATTAAATATTCATAGGTAATGAGCAACAAAATATCAAATTCAATTAACGATTGTGGAATAATGTACCCTTCCGTTTGGATAAGCAGAATGATCAGTACACAGTGAAATGGTTTTGCCGATATTCAATATAAATTAAACAAACTACAGAAAAACTCTAATTTTCTACAACTTTAAAAAAATAGTAATGGTATTCAAGCTTAAGGATAACCAAAGGTATTTAAAATCAAATAGATATGAAAAAAGAATTGACATAGAAAAAAGAGAATAAATGAGAAAGAAAAATTAAATTAATAAAAATTATTTCAATTGAAGAGGAAAATGTTTATTATTTGGTGTAAATAAATTAACAGATTAAGCGGAAGAGACGTTATATATTTAGCTATTTACCGTTACTTTGATGGAGGTCTATTTCACACATATAACTCTGGATTTTATTGTAAGCACATGGGGTATCATGCCAATTACTCAATGAGTGTATGCTGTAAAAGTTAATACTGGTGCATCGCTCATTTTGGACGCCATTTGGTTGTCGGTTCTTCATGCTATCATCACGATACCTATAAAAAAAAATAAATAAACAAAGGAACATTTAATCTGTTAAGTATTCCAGATATGATTTCAAACTGGGCAAAAAAAAAAAAAAAAAAAAAAAAAAAAAAAAATCCCATCCAGTGTATAGTAGAATTCTATCATGGTTTCATGCACAAAGAAATAAAAATATTAGAAATAAATATCCATTAAATTTGACTTTATTTTCGAACCATGCAGTGAAGGTTAAAGGGTTTCCATCTGTCCAGAGATATTTCAGTTCATTTTTTCCCTCTGTGTATCTCTTTTGAAGACCTGGAAAAAATATCACATTTTTACTCCGTCACACAGTCGAGTACTTTCAAATAGTACCCATCCAATAAAAAGACCTATTACTAAAAGTAACCTTACCTATGTAAATTTCCCAGTCGCCTGTAATGTTTATATCGTGCTTGAAGAGAAAATGAACATAAGACAGTTCCCTTTTTGAGGAGATACTAACAAGACTTCCATTTTGTTGATTACACTTGTGATTTGCTTCTGGCCACGTGATGCCTATGTCATCGGTGAATATTCTATAGCAGCTTCCGTTGTAGTAATGCCAATCATTTAAACAATCTAAAATTTAAAGAATCAATGATTCTTTACAATGATTGCTGATGTAAAGAACAAAAATAGATTACTTTGTTATGCAAATCTTTTTTCATACCTTTATTCCTGATATCTAACCATGTTTCTGTTAAATTCACACACGTATAAATCCCTAAAAAACCTTGACCCCGGATATTCTCATTTCCAGAGCAAAATTCTATCCTCATATGGTGCCATCGGGATGTAATATTCTGATAAGGTCTATTTTCTTTACAGAATCTACCAAGTAACACCTCCCTTCCATTCAAGTCGATATCATAAATTGCAATATATGACATAGAACATGTGTCGTCTCCATTAATGACATCTAAATTAAGAACATTCAATTCTACGTATTGCCCAAATGTTCCGTGTATGTTCCAAGAACAAGTTTCTCCTGTTTCATATGGAGCGGGGTATCTCTCTGTGGCTATAAAGGCTGACTGCAGTGTACAACTGATTATGCTACCTTCTGTAGCCATCCCACATATCTTTAAGTTGTTGCAAAAAGGAATTAGATACTTTAAGAAACACATTTAATATTTCTCCTTTTTATATATCAATTTGAATATTTTTTCTAAGTTGTATTACTCTTGTGATATAGTTAATTCATAGATTGTTTCTTAATTAAATTAGCAAATAGACTAGTATAAATCATTTAAAGTTTACCAACTGCTAAATGCTACCTGATGTTGTAGCCCAAATTTCAAAACTCTTTTCCAGCTGTGAAGCATACATTTGGAAACAAGACACCAGTGAAACAAATACAGTTCTTCCAGAAGAGATAATGACCGTGTCTTTGAATTTATCTTGTGAATCCGCGGTAATCACTATGGTGCTCGAATCGTCACGTATAATTATTTGGTCTTTGCACCTTCCTGGATTTATATCAACCATCCCAAGCTAAAATGCAAACAAAAGTTACTATGATTTAACGTTCTACGAGAATCTTTTGATATACAGAACAGCATACATTTTTGCTTGATTCAGAAATACACGGATCTTTTAAAAAGTTAGAATTTGGACAAGGCATCTTGTCAATCTCAACTTAGTAATATTTTCTTCTAATATAATTCTAAAATGAAAATAATAACGAAATAAAACAGCCTTGATAATTTTTTCTCATTCAAAAGCAACACGTGAGAAAAAAGAGTTACCTCTTTTAATTCTATTTCTGTCGTCGTTTTAGCCAGTTGTAAATAAATCATTTCCAGCCTGACAAAACTAGAATTTCCGGCATATATACTCCAGGTACAATTCAGTCCTTGTCCATAACTAAAAGGAAATCCTGGTGACCTGACGACGGACTTGTCCTTCTTTGTTAAATTTATTGAAAATGAACATTGAGTTACATCCATTGCCTCTGAAAAGATTTTAATACTTCTTGTAGTTCATTCACGATGCTTTATCAATCATCAATTTTTTATTTCATTCCATCATTAATTCTATAAATACCTTTGTACTCAAAATAAAAAAAAACACTTCAAAGTCTGACACAAAGTCATGTTTCATATTTGGATATTTTACTACAAAAAGACTAAAGGCAACGAACAACAACATTTTATGATAATTTTAGGACTGAATATGGAGCGTATGTCTCCCAGTTGCTTCGATACTCAAGAGCAAGTCCTACATAAGAAAATTTCTCAAACGAGGCAAGCTATTGATAATAAGTTGAAGAAACAAGGATATTGACAGTCCCGTTTAAATTTCGCAAATTCTATGATCAATACACTTTATTGGCAAGTACAATCTATCGTTCAATCGGAAGTTGCTTGACGTTTTCCCATACATCTATTATTGTTAGGCCATTATTTTCACATTGAATTGTCTTAAGGTGTTTCCGTTTGTTCGATCATGATAAGGAGCCATTGGAAGGTTTGCCAAGGGATGCCTACTCCTCATTGGAATCTAACCTGTGCTGTTCTTGGAGAAACCTGTTTGCATTGCTCCTATTTTGTTTTGTTCCATAGGACCTTTGTAAATTTGTTGTTTAACGTCACTCTCGAGAATTTTTCTCTTATATGGAGACACCACCATTTGCCGGCGAATGGCTCAAAATTTAGACCTATGCTTGGCACTCATGGTCATTGAGCAGTAAGGAGAGGGCAATTTTTGTGCCAGCACCTACTGCGACAGGGACATCGGTTTATACGGTTTCATCAAAGGACCGGTCCTATGTCCCACTGTGGGATTCGAACCCACGACATAAGCATCAACTCCTTACTCCTCGACTTTAGAGAAAACGCTTTAACCACCGCCTGACGCAGGCTAGCTTGATTACCCTTCGATTATATTATATTTCATTTATAAGCTTTGGTTAGTATTATTCAAGTGATACTTGTGTTTTTTTTGTATCCATTTTTTATTGTTTACCTTTTATATTTTTGAATTTTCATTAACATGGTCCTCATTTGTTAAAGGTGAAAGAATTTAGTGTTTTAGTTTTGTTTACTTTGGTCAAAAACTCTTACTTTCAGAACTGTTATGCCCTTTAAAATTTTAAAGAATAATTAACAAGAAATTTCAATATAAAGAAATTGAATGTCTTTTCAATATGTATTATTTTATAATCTAAAACCGCTAACTCAGAGTTAGGTTTGTTGTTTAAAATACAGAAAAATATAAACTGACCTTTGAAGCACAGACGATGAGCTGCCTGATTAAGAATGACACCTGTTTGTACCCAGGCCGCCTTTCTTGTTAGATGATATCTATCTCCAAAACTTAGTGAACATTCCGGAAGGTCTGAATTTCTTTGGAATGATAATGCTGTACAGTTATTACTTAAACAAAACTGTCTACAACCTTCGATTGTGGAAACATTCCTTACATTGTAGGGCGAATTATCTTCCTTTTCAAGCAAGAATAAAAACCGTTTTAGTTCCTCAAATCCAAAGTCCACGGTACCCTTTTTACATTTGATATCCCTCTGTACTGCAAATGAAATTTGAATTTTTATATCTGAATAAGCTTGTGTTATAATGACCCAAGGAAATAGAAATTCAAGATTATCTTTAGGCTTGTGTGTTGAAGGAGAAATTCTTCTCACATTTATTGTACTTAAAAAAAAATAAATTCTCACAGTTAGAAGACAATATCACTAACTGATACTATCAATTAAATTTAATTTGACCATTTATACGTTTAATTATAGGAACAAGGCCAGGTTAAAGTCATTGTCTTTATTATTGACATTAAGAATAAAAATCACTGTTGCCCATTATGTGGTGACTTCTTCTATTTCAAAAGAATACTGACCGAGTAAATGGATACTACCAAATCAAGATAAATAATTTAGCTAAAATAGATATTGGCCATCCCGAATTTCCTCAATTTTTCAAACTCAGTATACCATTTCTATTCAAAGATGTGGAATTATGATAAGGAAAGAAAAATATGATCTTTTAAATCCCTTACATTTATATACATGTATATGTCGTCTGCATGTAAGCACAAATACTTTGCATATTTCATTTAGTCAGAAACCAGATAAGATTTTCTCCTTAGTACCTATATTTATGCGCATGTACCTCAACCTCAGGGTTATATTTACGAGAATTTCTATTTAAATCTTGTATTTAATATTCAAATGTGTCCTTAATACCTATATTTATGCGCATGTACTTCGACCTCAAGGATATATTTACGCTAATTTCTATTTAAATCTTGTATTTAAGATTCAAAGGTGTCTTTTCTGAAACTTGTGTATTGTTTTGTCAATCATTTTTGCTAAATGTCCTATGAGTATACTATTGGATATAATAACAAATTACATATAGATCTTTACATTGTTTCTGGCAGCCTATGACTTCTGCCTTGAGACAAGCTTGTTGGCCATCTGCTACAGATGGGTGTATTTTGATGTATCTCGCCAGAATATCCTCATGGAACAGAAACGTCTGTGGTGTAGTGACTGCTACCGTGTTATCAACAAGAAAAGTCTGGAGAAAAACATACTAAATAATACTTGAGAAAAACATTAATTTATGGAATCAAAAGCCCGCACATAATTCACCAATGAACTAGAGAAACAAATTCATGTGCAATCTGTTTACAGTAACCATAATAAATCAATTCACTTTCTCTGAAAGTTAGCACGCTTACTTTTACAACCCCAGGGGAATCTTCGTAACGATTCATTGCTTTCCTTGTCACGCCATAAGACACTTGGAATGACTGGATATATTTCGTCTCCTTTCCTGATATCCACCCTTGCACTGAAATTCCTTGCACGACTGTTGGGACAATCAAATCAACCTAAAAACAGCAAGGAGAGAAATTGAATTTCCTTAATGTATATATAAGGACCCTAAAATTGTTGGACTCTCTTTCTGCATTGGAAATCTCTGGAACTTTCAATTGTTCCTAGAAATGTTAAAATTGATGGCAATAAGTCTTTTTCTATTATTCCTTGCTGGAAACCAAATATGTAACCTTGAGTTTGCTTTTGCAATCATTCAACAAAGTTTGCCCGAGTGACCATTTTTACCATCGTCCTTTAAACACATCCCGATTTTCCGGGACCTCTGAATTGTAGGCAGAATAAGAGGAAGATATGATGACTCAGGAATGGGTGCGATAACGTTTAGTTGCAATAAGGAATAGAATAAAACTGATCTAATAAATGTTTACAGACCTCTGTAGATTGCGATTATCGGCCAATAAAGGAAGGACACATTGCTTCTTTAGACACTTTCGTTGAGAAGATTAAGCCCATCGATTTTGCTAAAGTGATTGTTTACTTTTTAATTATTCTTTTAAATCTTTTATATTTGTGAATTAAAATAGACTTGGCATAATTTTACCTCGTCTTAACATTTTAACATTCTCAAATAATTCCTTCACGTCTTTAAAAATTTATGATTTTTTAAAACAGACCTCCTTTCGAAAAATTTCGTATTTCAACAGTAAAACAATAAAAAAAATATTACACAACAAACTACACCGCGTTTACAGTAATAGTTTAATACGACAGTATATATAGCTAAAAAAAGCAAAATACCATGAAAATGACGTTTATATTTCCGGAGTTTGGATAAGCTGTTGAAAAATTGTCAGCAAATTACTGATAATAATATTATATGGGAGTAGTAGTCCAAAAAGTATGATGTAGTCACTTAACAAGACATATATCGACTGTCACATACAGAAAACCAAGGTGATTCATCCTTCTTTGTAGCACACCAGCCTGGGTCCGGATAATATAATCGCCCTCGAATAGAAAGTGGCAGTACTTCAACTCCTTCTATGTCATCCGAAGTGGCTCCAAGCTGATAGTCATAGATGTTACCTGAGGCCATTCCTAATGGGCTTCCACAGGTTGTTGCTAAAACAGAGATTCCACACGGATACACTTTCCTTATTTTGATATTATCTTTTAAATTACATATAATAGTATTCAGAATGAGATTTACAAAATTGTTTAAGTAGTAGTTAAATTGTGCATAACTATTGATATGTGTAATGAAATATGGAGATAACTAACAGTAATCAGGCTCAAAAAGACCACTGAAAAAATAGAAATTGGAAGCAGAGCAAACACGGACCTCTTAAATCATTATCAGGTGGGATCAGGTGCCATAGAGGAATAAACATCCCCTGTAAACATGGCCTAACAATTTGTATGAAAAACGTCTGTCAGCATTCGGCTTAATAAAAGTTTGAATTCTCAAAAGAATAACCATCATAAATACATTATGTTAATACTAAACGGTTATGGAGCTCAGAAAATTAAATAATTATTACAGATTGAGAGCAGAGCAAACAAGGCCCTACAAAAATCAGAGTTGGGATCAGATGCAATGGATGTATAGCTGGATGTATAGCTATTTTTAACCCTTTTAAAAAGCATATACTTACATCTTCCTAGAATAACTATCTCGTTGATTTCCATTTGATAGAAATTGCCTGGATTATAGTCTGGTTGTGTGAAGTCAAAATTGCGGATGGTGACGTATTGACCCACCACCGGACGTCTGCATTGATAACGAAATACCCTGGAGTATCCCGGTAATCGGATGTCGTCACATCGAACAGCGCCATAGTTCATGAAGTCCCATTGATTCTTACTGACGTAGGTCCCAAGATATTACAGATTTAGAGGCATGTAAGCTAGAAAGATTGTTTAAAAGTTTAAAAGGTAATCCTTTTTTTTTGAGCATTCAGTCAAATTCGAAATAATACTTTGGAATCATTAGATTTCATGGTGGCTCAATTTTCGTGGAATTCGTTGGTACCACTCACCCACGAATTAACATCCTCCACGAACTGATAAACTATGGTTACAAAATCATATTTTTTTGTAGGTATAAGAGAATAAGTCCCCACGAACCCTTTAGAATTTAAGCAATCTACAAACATTGGCTCCCACGAATTTTAATGATTCTACAGTAGTAAAAACCGAAAAAAAAACCATTTTCTTTTAAACTGACAAAAGATGAAAAATTACTTGAATTCAAACGTTTCCAAGAAAAATAAAAGACAAAGCAAAAAATGTACACACTTTAATTAACTATCAATGTAAATATATGAAATGAATAAAACTACGCCTAAAAAAGCGCCTGTCCTAAACAAATTATAAGATAGTCTATTTTTCAACATAAACATATAGCATCAACATAAGTAAGAGAATGTGTGGTAACTTTCTTAATGAAGACTGAAATACATTTGAATTATTGAGGATTACAACTATTCTTTAAAAGGACAAATTTTAAAGCTGAAAATAATTGAAAATTAAATTAAAGCCTACTGGCATATCTGTAAATGAGTATAGCGTGGACTTCAATATGTTCCTGTAGATTTACTTGATACCAGGGCTTCATCAGTGGCCGATTAGAAATAAACGAATTCTTAGTACCTGAAATTAAAAATACCTGATTAAAGTCATTATGCTTGTTGTAGAGCAAAGTAAACAGAACACTTCAAACAATTTAAGCTACATGCACTTACCAATGAAACCATCCACCGCATAATTTGCATTATTTCCCCCATCCTGCTGAACACTAGCAAAAGGTTTGAATTTTCCAAATTCTTTCAAGTCCATTTCTTCCTCTATAAATTCAAAAGACATTAATTCCTATTAATGTGCTTCAAGGACATTGCCTTGATAAGGTTTACAGCTATTTAAGGAGAAAATAAACACATTATATTGAAGCCAGTTAGGCTAAGCAATTGATTGAATACTTTTTTGTTAAATCTAAGAAACTATCCAGACGGACTAGGATCCATCACTGGCACAGCAATTTATTCAGAAAATATTGTCTAAAGATTATATCTCTCTTAAGATTGTAGTAAATATAGACATACATTAAATTTCTGATCAGTTCTGTTAGCTCAGCTTTCAAATTGCGTTGTTTAATGGAATTTTGAAGATAATTAGTGTTTGATATCTTCACATTTTATACTGCAGTCCTAACATATTAGTATTTTTTTTAAAACATAAATGCATTTACATGTATAATTTTTAAGAGTACAGACCACATTTAGGGACCCTGCATTTTTCTTTCATAGTAGGAAACTCCACAAGACATGAAGGTTCCCCTGATCTGTAGTATTGATGGGCTCGGCAGTAATTCTCATCAAACTCCTGAAACACTCTCCTGCTGTTACGATAAAATGTATCAGACGACTCTGTCCAAATCAAACACGCCTTTCCGGAAGCAGAAATATTGGCTCTACCATTGTACGAGTTTCCGTAGTCCGTATCATAATAACATTCACGTTGCTCTGTTTAAAAAAACATATGCAAAAAAACATAAAATTTTAACCTGATGTAAACAACAAATAATTTGAATGGACTTATAACACGCCAAAAAAACCCAGAATTGTGGATTCAACACTGTCAAACAAATGAAATGATAACGTACACCTGGTTGTAAGAGGGTTGTCCAAAAGGCTGCAGAATAATGGCATTTTCGTCATGTCTACTGGTCTAATGTATACTTATTGTTACCAAAATGTTTGTCTTAAAATTTAAGTCATACTATTAGGTTTTGATTGTTTGAACTTAAATTTTATATAACAATCTCTATTTATACGTTGAGGAAATGGTGCATTGTAGTCTATAAATAAACTTCATCATACACATTTGGCAAAGTCAATAATTTTTTTTGTTTGTTTGTATGTTGTTTAACGTCCCTCTCGAGAATTTTTCACTCATATGGAGACGCCACCATTGCCGGTGGAGAGCTGCAAATTCTGTCCTATACTCGGCACTTACGGCCATTGAGCAGTGAGGGATCTTTTTCGTGCCAGCACCTACTACGACACGGGACCTCGGTTTATACGGTCTCATCCGAAGGACCGGTCTCCACGTCCCACAGTGGGATTCGAACCCGCGACGTAAGGATCAACTCCTTACTTCGCGACTCTAGAGCAGACGCTATAACCACTGCGCCACGCGGGCGACAGTCAATAATGTAAACAAACAAAAATAACCTGTCCATGAGCTTTATGATCAGCCCTCATGCATACACAGAACTTGCGAAAAATGTTATTATTAACATTCTATACTTAGAGGCGACATTACTAAAACTATCTGGAGTAAAAAAGTAGAGTCACCTCAGATCAACGTTTATTCAATGAAAATGGCAAAATCCTTACGGATAAATAGTTAAAAGAAATCATATGACTTCAATTAAAATACAAAAGAGAAGAACATTTCCATTTAAAACATCATTACGTTTTTGATGATTTAGAATAATAAATGTCGTTATGACCCGTTTATGTCAAATTTCTGGTAAAAGGTAAGCTTGTCATATAGAGCATTACAATTGGTTCTCAGTGTAATACTACACAATCCAAATGGTTATTGCGGAGGCTCAAATCAAATCAGGTATCTGTAGTCTGGAATATATATATATCAGATACCAATTAAATAATAAAAAATGTAGATGCATAATGTACTTGACTAAAATATTGTTGTTCAATTCAGAAAACCGTATTTAAGTATTAAATTTTATATGTTACAATTATTATTTCTGAACCTCTTACATTTTTGTCGTGTATATGTACAATAACTCTGAATTAAGTGTCAAAGGAGTGAGATAAAAGCCGTTTTCTTTTTTCGGTTTTTGTATGAATTGTGAAATCTAATATTACTTAAAATTACCGTATGGTTTATAATAGCAATACGCTATGCCAACTGAATCATTTATTGCTGTTGTATTAAACAAAGGCAACATCCCCTTAAAAGCCCATTCATCGTATTCATTGTTCATATAGAAATAATCCTGCTGTACAATCATAGAATCTAGCTCCTGGCAGTTGTCTGCTGACTGACTCTGTAAAATGAAAAGGGTGAAAATAACAAACAGTGATCGATCTCCAAAATTTTAAACAATTAAACATATCTATGAAGAGGGCATAACCATAGAACCCTGGAAATTTCAGAGGTGAGGTCAGGTGCCTAGAAGGAGTAAAAATGCCCTGTCGACCGATTAGACCTGAGCCCTATGTATTGATGAGGTTGATGGAACATTCCGTGTCAAATTCAATATAAAAACAAAGTCTTAACAATTGGTATGAAACAAAGTCAGCCAAAATACAACCCGATAATAGGTTATATTTCCTAACTAGGTCATTATAACGAAAAAGAATTTACGAAATGCTGACTTTAAAAAAGGTTGTTGAAATCCCTGTAAGAGTCAACGTATCTTTCAGTAGCCTGCCTCAGTTTAAAAACTGATTGTACTCGGAACATGCTCTTGTGTATTGAATAAGTTGAGAGATGTAAATCAAGTAGATCTTTTAGCAGTTTGTCATCTATAAACTAAGATACAAGAAGTTATAATTTTAGTTTAGGTCTATGTGTCGTCTATATTAGGGATTATTATTTTTTTTTAATTCTAGACTTCATAGATTTCACTATTGATTTAAAAAAGATCATGCAAACAAGTAATTTTAAATAACTCGAAAGTTTATAACAATATGTTCGCTTTAATAAAAACCAAGAAGAATAACATTATTTATTTCCGTCATTAAAATGACTTTTATTTACTGATAGAGTTTGCTATTAGCTTTGAAATGCAATAACATATCTTCAGATATTTGGATCAAAACTTTGCAAAAAAGAAACAATTTCATAATTAGTAAGTTCATCCTCAAATGCCAATTAAACAATACAAATTGTGAGCAACACAGACTCTGAAAACAGTATTTGGATCAAGTGCTTTAGAGGAGTAAAAAATCTCCTATCGATCGATCAATTAAGCTGTGTGCTCCATGTCACATCGGATAAGCGGAAAAATTCGTATAACATAATGGACTCTCAATTTGTATGAAAAGCGTCAGTCAACATTCAAACGACGGGCAAACAAAATCTTTGTATAAATCATAGAATTTTCGTACTGCTCTTTAATTTAATGAGACTGATGTTATCCTTGTATCACCAACTTATTCAATTCCAATAGGTTGCCTCGTTTTAGAGGTTGTTCGTACGTAGAACATGGTCTTGCGTATCGTACTGTACTTTACTGTCTCTCTATTGACAAAACATTGCAGGTTGATACCCTTACAAAATTGTTTATAACCGTCAAAGACTCAAGGTCACTTCTTCCTGTCCGCAGCTCCAACGGAAGACCTACACGTTGCATTGCAATGAGATCGGCTCTAGTTATTATATAGAAATACTTCGTTATCTGGTAATATAAGTGGGTAAAAAAGGACCATGACATAAGTTGTTTTTTTTCAGAGTAAATTCTGTCGACCACTCTGGGAAAATAAAATTTTGGTAAATGTCCTCGAATGAGAATCTTTTAATCTATATATTAACCAAGTTGCCTATTAATTACCTTCTAGGCTTCAATGACCAAAGGAATAAGAGAAAACGACAGATATGGTATAATAATACGATTATTGTAACCAAACACACAGAAAGGGTGCTAGATTTCCATAGATGACGAAGACTTTTGCAATTATATGATACGTAATTAATGTATGATCAATTACGCCTTACCAATGAACACAATCAAAAATTAAAAAGAATACAAAGAGGTTATTAAATTTTAAGTGCTTTAATTTCGACAATAGTCATTAAATGACAAGCATTAAGGTATGCTTTGACAAATTGTGAATATTGAAACCTATTCTGACAATATCATTGA